CCTGTCTAACTTTGGTTAGTTGTATATGTACAGATCGCTGACAATTTTTTTACAAATAAATATGAGACATACTGTATCTTGAGTTATCTCTATTTAATAATGTTAGTTCTTGTGGTCCTATTGATTTCAAGAAAATTTATAGTTTTAAAATTGATTTTTTCATTATAAAATATATTTGTATCACTTGGAATAAAAAAAAAAAAATCTTGATTAGTACTCTTTAACTTTAAAATAATTCTTTTTACATGAATCAAACTTAATTATATTCATTTTTCAAGGTCTGTAATTTCTTGAAATTTTATTTAAAACTGTAGGTAAAGTAGATAGTTTTTCACTTTACTTTGAACAATAAAAAACAATCATATTTCCATTCTCTTCTATAATATTATCTTCACAAATTTTCTTATTATTTTCGTTATCTCTATATTTCATATCATCTTTATACACATTTATTTCCATATCACTTTTATCACCACAAGCCAATTCATCAAAGATTTTATCATCTTCTAATCCATCTAAAGTATTAGAGATATAACACTTTCTAAATGTCCACTAAATAATTTCCAGATTGATTTTGTTCCAGGCAGCAAGAATTCACTTATATACCATATGCAAGCTTGCACATTTCAGATTTCTATTTACAGTTTTTCCAGCTCCACCACTTGCCATCCATGTATACCAATGATGATGAAGAGCAGCTTTAAAAGGATAATTAATAGAGACATCCAATGATTGATACATTGATATGAAACTCACCAGAATAATTACAAGATCAGTGTTAGTTTTCTTCATCTTTTCTTTAATATTATCTATAAAATGTGCCTTAAAGGAATCATATACAAACAGAATAGGCTCTTTATTGTAACTACCTGGCCATTTTTTTGCAAAATCACAGGTTCAAGTCATCATCCCTTCTTTGTCTATCCAGCCTTTTTCGTAAAAAGAGATATTGATATTTGGAGGGGGAGAAAGTACATCTTTAACTTTGGGCCACTGCTTGCCTTTGAAAATAATAGTTGGAGAAGTTTCTAATCATCAGCAAAACATATAAGAATTACTGTATATCATTACCAGTAGTACAAATATAAATTGTTTTCTTGCCAATTGTATCAACTATAAGATTTCCCATCATATCAAACTACACAGGAGTCTCATTCATATTGGCAATATTCTAAGTGGAAAATTCTTGCACTGGCATATACAAATTATATAGTGTTGCAAATTGAGTAATTTTTCTTTAAAATCCTTAGGTAATTGTTAATTATTTTTGTTTTATAATGAAGGGTAAGATTATATTGATGCAAAAAAAGTTTAAGCCATCTTAAGGATGCTTTGAAATTGCTCGCAATAATCTTTTTTATAGGATCATCTGTATTTGTTACAGTTTCAGTAACAATTTTTAACATTTCAATCTTGAGACTATTATAGGTAATGGCTAAAGCAGACTCATGCATCTGAAGAAACCAGGCAAAAAGTTGTTTTTCTTCAACAAGAAAAAACTCTTTTCTATCAGCACCAACATGACAAGACTTATAGTTTTTAAGATTGTCAAGCTGAGATTTCAAGTCTCCTATCCATTTGCTAATTAGACTTTTGTTGATGCCAAAGTGAACAGCAGCTTTGACATTATTGGAGGCAAGCACAAAACAAACAATTGTAGCTTTTTTCTCAATAGAATATGATTGTTTTTCTTCTTTTTTTATATACTTCATATTATTGTATATAATTTAATTAGTTACATAACACAGTAGAGTATAAAAAAAATATGTAATGTGGTTAAAAGATCAGAATATAAAAAAAGTTACAAAAATTAATTCAAAAATTTCAAAGTCTTAAAAATAAGAATCCTTCCTACTTTAATTATTGAAGGGATTTATTTTTGGGTTTCTTATTTTTGATCATATATGGTAATCATGCTTGATATGATGCCTAGGGGTGCAAAACAGTTTTTTTTAATAAAGTATTACAATAAATGCTTGTCATGTTTAGAAAAATATTCTGGTCTTTCAGGTTATATATTAGGATGTGAGATCCATTTTTTTTGTATTGTTTTATTGTGTCATAAATGATTAAGAAAGATATGTTAAGTTTAGAAACAATGATAGTACCTTTTGTGTCAGAAAGATAGATGTCAATTATTTGTTTATATTGTTGGAGGCTTAGCTCAGAATCTCATATTTATTGTATAACAGAAAATTATAAAATAGAAGAAACAGATGTGAATAGGAATTTTTTGTGAATATAATCAAATTGAAAAGAAAACATGTTTTAAAAAAAAGTTTTTCATCACAATTAGCCAATTATATCAATTCATCCTGATAATTTATTATAGGATATGTATAATTTTATTGATTAATAAAAATCATATATATAGTATATTTAATCTTAAAAAAAAAAAAACTTTATAGTTAAAGAGATATTAATAAAGAAAATTAAAAAAAGCTTATAATATATTATTTAATAAAAGTTTAGAATTGTTTAATTTGATCTTATAATTATTTATAAAAATATATTTTTATAATTTTAAATATGATATAATTGAAAGAAATTAATTTTTTAAAATATAAAAATAGAAGAAGAATTTAAAAAAGTATCAACTGTAACCTATAGATTTATAGTACAATAATTAATATTTCACAAATCAAATTACAAGATATCTGTTCAATTTTAAGTAAAGACAGTTGAATAAAATTAATATAGTATTTGATATTATAATTTATTAAGTACTATTTATATAAGAAGCCAATTTATATGCTAATTTAATAAACATTGAGATTGTAATTTTCAAAAAAGATATTGTAACATAATGATCATTTGATTAATATCATAATAATTGCTAGAAGCTGTTTTATTGTAATTGAATCAAATAAAATAGAAGCATTTATTTAATTTTTTAATTAATATTTTTCTTATATTTGAATGTACAAATTGAATTATATTTTATTCTAACCAATTTCAATTATATCTCTTTTCTATTAACTATTAAATAAGAAGCTTTGAAAAAATTGGTGTATTAATAATATTATTTATTATTTTTTTTTTTTACTCCAAATCAGACTGCAAGTCTAAGTGTTTATTAATATGAGTCTTAATTGACAAAAATACATTAATACAATATAGAATAATATTATACTAAAGCTAAACTAT